GTTGAGAAACGGGGCAGCACTGCTTTGTGAAGATGTGACTGGTCCTTTACGTGGTTGCCCACCATTGGGCCATTGCTCGGTTTCGGGGTGGGGCTTGGCATGCCCAGCCATGGAGGGAAGTGGGTGTTGGCCCTTGAGGGCGGTTGGCTTCCCATAGAATTCATGGATACTCCAATAAAGGTTCGTACCAGGGGTCAATGAGTGCTGTTCTATCGGACCGTGAGTCCCAGTCTCAACATGGGATTCGGGGAATTTTGTGTGTGTGTGTGTGGGTTTAAAGGAAAACCACCGGGACACTTCCCACTTGGGGCGTCCGCCATTTTGAGACACGCCCATACGACCATTATGAGGATTTCCAACAAGCCCAAGAAGTTGCTTGAGCATGACAGGAACTTGTTTGACCAAAGGCAAGCACTAGCTGCTCTCCTTGTGCACTAAGCATGCAGCGCCATATTTGGATATTTCTCAAAACAGGAGCCCAACTCGGCTTGCGTGACAACATGCACTCAAGGACGACAAGATCCGCACAGGGGTATATAGTGTTCACCGTTCTTGACATGTGTGTTTAGTTCTTTGTTTTTTGGGCTGTGTTCGGTGGCTGCAAAGAACAAGGTTGTCCAAAATACCAAGGGTTGGAGATACTGAGATACTGCTTTTTGCTTTCGGGGACCCTCCAATGGATCTGTCTTTGGCCTTGCAGGTGCACATCTTGCCGGCGTTGGCAAACACCCAGGCACGTGTTGTTTCTCCTCGCTTCGCCGGACTTGAATGCGAGGAAGTTGGGGCGTTTTTGTGTTTTTTTTTGGCGTTTTGGGCCAAAATCTGTGAACGGTGCTCCTTGAGTCACAGAAAGGGCTGTAGTTGTCCGGAATCCGTGGCTGACGACTCCTTTTCAATCTGCAAAAAGGGCGCGGACACCTATAAATGTGACGTGGGGCTTGCCCCCCACCCCCCTCCCCCTAAAAATATACAACAAAATACAGTCGCCCCGCCCCAACACATCGCTCACCCCAAATGAAACCTCGGGTCAGCTGGGGTTTCGCTCGATTTGTCGAGGACGCGGACGAACTGGGCGCAGGGACGTCGGAGGTACCCAGCTGGCAGATCCCGGAGCTGGTGGCCCGGGACCTCGAGATGCCAAGATGCGAGGTCCCAGAGATGGAGTCCACCCATGGGCCTTGAAAAATGGGGGGGAGGTGCCCAAGAGAAAGACACAGGTCATGGAAATCCAAATTTTTGTTGAAGGGTCAGAAGAAAAGAACCGGCAGCCGGGTTCCCCCTTGGCGAAACACGATTGGAGCAACAGAAGGGTTTCAATGGCCAATTATTTTTCTACAAGTCAGTGAACACAAGCTCCCACTTCAAGTTGGCAGCCTTCCGACGCGCTTCCGCACAGCACGCGCAACGCGGCACGGAGGTTGAGTGCCCAAAGAGGCCTGGCGCCCGAATTCATAAGGCAAGGCCAGAGTAAGGGAGAATGGGCGGTGGACTGGGTGATGCGATGGGAAGTGGTGTTTCCTGAATTAGCAGACGCACAAATGCCATGGCAGTGTGAAAGTGGTAAATCCTGCAGATTGACATGGAACCCACGCAGCCATCATTTTTTAGGGCGAAGCTCTTTTTGGGGACTGCTTTTTCGGTTCTACCCTCAATTTGCACTGGGAGTAAGTGGGTGTTTGTTGGAGGATACCCTCTCAAAGGGAAGCCAAAGAAACCGTCGCCATTTTGGGAGTTTTCCGCCCACTGGCAGGGCACTTCCCTCATCCTGCCAGAAGCTGGCGGCGATTTGATGGCCGGGCTCCAAGGGGGCCAGCAGCCGAGTCGAGGGTTGGTTTTCCCTTTGGTTTCCCAACAAGAGTACTCTCATAAACAAACAAGCACACACACACACCCACACACACACGATTAGCCCTGTGTAAGCACAGTGAGCCTAAAGATTGCCGGTGGGTGGGGAACGTGCCGTAAACTCGACGCGATTTTGTGGTTGAATGTGGTTCACTTGCAATGTGCTGTGAATGGGTGTTTCTTAAATAGGTTAAAGTCCCCTAAATGGCAATTCCCTTGGATTTTCCGAATACAACCTCGAGAACAAAACTGAAGGCGTTCTGTTTTTCATTAAAGGGAAGCCGTATTTGGAAACATTGTTGAGGACCAAGTTTTAGTTGCAACAACATCTACGTACGCAACCACCACAAAGCCACTCTACAAAGCCATTGTTGGGGTTCCCAAAAAGTAAACCAAATATCTTAGAGAATCGGTATTTTGAACCCCCCCATTTGCCAGTTTCGGGGAAACCTTATTGGGCTCAACAGCGCAGACCTCTTGTCTCGGGACTGAGGCCTGCATCGTGCGCAGCTTACCGGTGCTGCTGCAGATCAGGCGATGGGTTTTCAGCCGAATGTGTCCAAGCCGGACGGCAATGATACTATTGGGAGTTTTCTCAGAATGGGGAACTTCCTTTCTGGTTGGCTAAAGGGAAGCCAAAGGACACAATCCATTTAGGGACCACTGTTTTGAGAAACCTTTGTTTGGATGAATCAGTTTTCCTCCTCGAACCATGAGAGTTGCTTGCTTGGGGATTCCGGTATATTCCGCTGCCGGTTGGTGAACTACTGTAATTTGCCCAGAACTGTCTTTTGCGTGTTCTTTGGATATGCTCTGAATGACAAACAGGGAACGAAATAAGAGGACTTCTCTTAGAGGCACACGGTTTCAGGTCTCTTTTAAGGTTTCATGTTTGCTTTTGGAATGGTATCGCCCAGAATAAGTATAATAGTTGCGTGGGCAACAGGGTTCTGTTATTGTTTCTTTGTGAGTAGATGTTCGCTGGGTTTAGTTGCACCAGGTTTGTGTCACAATGCGGCAACTCCCAAAAGTGGATTATGTTGCTCATCTTTCAAGGGAAGCCTCAGGTGGGAACGGCTTGGAACCACTGGATTCAAAACTAAGCTCAAGAGCTACATGGTAGTAGCACAGGTAAGGGACGCCACTGCAAAGTTGGAGGTGTAAGCGCTACACCAGTTTGTCAAACGCGTCACCTATGGCCTAGGACACCAGCAAAGCACCCATTGTTGCCTCCACTGTCAAGTAGCACTCCTGTTGGATGAAAGCCAATCTTTCCACAGGTCCCTAATGTGATATGATCTGGGGTAATTCGATATGATGTGACGCCATTTGTCGGAGCCACCCCAGGCCGCGATGGATTCTGGGCTACAGCATGGCAGTGGATGGCCGGCGCCTCGAAACGGTTCTTTCGGTGTAGAATGTAGCCTCTTTATCCGAACTTCAGATTTTTTTGTGTCTGAGGCGTTTCCCTGCGGACCATGTACAGGCAGCTGGCGGACTCCGGGCCCTGCGTCATGATTGTGGAGGACCAACATGGCAGCTGGTCACCTGCATTCGATGCGGTCGCATGGACAAATGCCAAAATGTGTCACAAGGGCAGCACAACTGCACCCTCAAGCCGCAGAACGGCTTTGTTGCGCCACACCAAGCCAATCGTGGGACTTGGGCCGAACCCGCGCTTGCTCAAGTGGTGGCTCGAGGGTTCAAGCTCTCATTGTAGACATAGGTCATCAACGCCATTCGAAGGCTTGTTGTGCAAAATCGCAGGGAAAACCTTGGACCACAGGATGCGAAAGAAACGGATCTGCCTTTCCGCAGAGAGAGAGAGAGAGAGAGAGAGAGACGAGGCTCGCTGGGGATGCCAGGCACTCCAACACCATAGGGAATGGGAGTGTTCTCCTGGCAGGGTGCATGCCAGCAACGGTCAAGAACATGTGTTTGTTGGACGTTTGCTCTAACAGAAGCCCTAGACCTGTTTCATACGTTTCCTGTGATGTTCTGCAATCTTCGACCCACATTTCCGAAACGGTCAGGGGATCAAATGTTCGTTGGGTTTGGGGAATGAACCGAAACGACATCTCAAGGTTCCCACCTCTACCGAGCCTTGAGGACTCCTCCAACAGCATCTTCGGGGCCTTCCTCAGCGAGGGCTTGAGGCGTTTGCGCGCAGAGCGCGGGGCGTTGAAACGGGACCAGTGTGGTTCCCTTGGTTTTGCCTCAAAGGTGGTAGCGCCCCCACCCCCTCCCCGCGCATAAAAAGCAAGATAACCAGAGAGGGCCACATCGAAGGCATGGTTTTTCCCACATCGGAGCCATGGTTTTTGTCCATGCCTTCGCTGTTTGCGGTTGTTGGTGCTGATTGAGTGTGTGAATCACAGCTAGACAGTGACTGCGGTAAGGATTCTTGAGGCTAGACCTCATATATAGGATTTGTTTTTTTTGCAGCCTGTGTTCACAAAATGCTGGGAGGGGGTTCCTTTTGGCTTCTCTCTAGAAACAACCGCAAAACAGGTTCCCCAATAAGACACACCATACACGCACAAGATTTCAAGCAACCAACAACATGCTACGATACATAACTGAACTTAGCGTGTTTCCTACTTAATTTTTATTTAGAGGTTCAGCCAAAGGTGGCGATCAATGCTAATGATGTTCAAACTTCAAAGTTTCGCGCGTTTAAGCGCCATCCAACAATGGCTCCCCCTATAATCACGTTGACATCCCCCCTTGTGGATTTGTCTTTCGAGTGTTGTTTCCCAGGGAAACGAAACGGACAACACCCCTTTCGGGACTCCATATTCGAATCGCGGCACACCCACAGGGCCAAGTGGTCCCCCTCGCTTTCCACAGGTTGGGAGGGGAAGACACGTTCGTGGATCTCGGCGGCTCGAGCCCGAGGAATAGCTTTAAAAAAGTCAGAAAGGTTAGGCTGGTCAGGCTTTTCACCACTACTCAGAAAGCATGCATATCTTGTGTGCGTGTGTGTGTTTGCATTACAATATATATATATATACATACATATATATATATAGATATATTATGTGCATGTTATATATGCACATGTGTGTATGCATACATATATGATATATGTATATATATATATACACATACTATATATATATATATGCAGTATTGTAATTATTTTAGATACGTAGCTAAGTGCCCAAAAACAGCGGCAAACACGTGGGCCCGGCACGGGCTATGGCCGCTGTGCTGACGGTCCGCGCTCGCGCCGCCAGCGCCCCGGTGCTCCGCTCGATCCGCGGAGTGCGGGAAGTTGCAAAGCCATCGCCCGCTGGGCGGAGGCAACCGAGGCGGGAGGTCGGTATCACGGTCATGATGTCTTATAGTTGATAGCATTTGATGGTGTTCAACGAAGTTGTGCTATTTTGCTTATAATTAGTTGTTTGTTTGCGTGCGTGCGTGCTTGCTTGCTTGCTTGGTTGGTTGGTTTGTTTGTTTGTTTGTTTATTTATGCGTTTCAATGATTTGTTTTTATATATATATATATATGTTTGACCCTTTGTCGGATCATTGACCGGGCTCGCTCTGGGGATTCATAGCAACCAAGAGCTAACCGCCAGCAAAAAGTGGGAGGTTTTCGCAGGGGTAATTGGTCTATAGGCACTAAGTGGATGACTTGGATGTCGAGTCGTGAATTCCAGCACGCTTGACCAGGTAATTTTGAGGCCAAAATGGCGGGGATGCTTCTGGATGTGGGTAGCTGTTTGGGTTTTCGGCAGTCTGTATCTGGTTTATAATTGCCCTGGCGTCCACTAAGTACCATGGAACACACCAGAGTGTCTCTCGTAGAAGCAACATCGTCCAAGTCAGTCAAGCCATGCTTCCCCAGTTAGGTTCCATAGCAGGGTAGGAAGGCGCTCTGTGTTTCGGAGCCCTGATGTTGGTAAAATCAAATCAGACTTTCCTCATCTTCAAAGGGGCATGGGGCATGGGGTACACTCACCTGTTTCTACCAGCCTGGCAGGGGCCTTGCCAGCTGTACCTTGGCTGCCCTCGCCGCGTCCGCGCCGGTGGTGCGTGGGGTGCGGTGCCGCAGGCCAGCTTTGTGCGCGGGGGGTGGGGGGATGGTCGGGAAGACATTTGGCAATGAGGTTTAATGCGAAAGATGGGAACTCCCTGAAGTTTGGTGGGGGGACATGGACACCTATGTGAATATGATAATGTCCACCGAGGGGATCAAACCTCATACCCATTCAGACTCGGCGTGCAGGGGTCCGTGCGAAGGAGCTCGACGATATGGTTTTGACAGGCGGTGCAAGAAGTCGTTTTATGAAGTAGTTCGGCAAAATTGCTTAACAGAGTTGGTCAACAACGCGTGGAGCAATTAAACCAGCCTTGTTTCACAGCGGCCGTGGAGTAGCAAGACAACAAGGGGATAACTTCGCCTGTATCAAGTGCTGGTGTGCGATGCGCGCAGTGCAGCACGCGCAGGTTCTGCAGCACTCGGCGGGCCACGGCCACGGGGGAGGACTGGGCTTGTATCATTTAGTGCTTGCGTCCAAATTTAAATAGCCAACTGTGTTACGGTGATCGCAAAGTTGACAACATGAAACGCCGCGTGCCCTCCCCGATCAGTTGCATGTTGATGATCTATTGAGGGAAATGACCGTCGCCAGCGTTTTGCTCGGAGATACATGTTCATCACTATATTTGGTGTCCAATGTTGCTGCAGTCCGCCAGGGTGGGCAGCCCGGCAAGTAGTTTTGACACAGTAAGAGAATCGATCGAAGGCGGACTTCATGTGGGTGCTCAACAACACCGGTGCCATCTCGATACCAAAAACCGGTCCACCCGCCCGCCCGCCTTGTTTGGTGATTGTCCAACGGATGTCATCTCCATTTGGAGTGTCCACGCCCGGCCTTGGATTCGCGGGCCCGCATGTAGTTCGGTTTTAACCAACCTTATTAGACAGATATATGGTTGCCCCAATTGGTTGCCCCTATAAGGGTAGCTGTTTTCTTGTTGGAGGTATGCCAAACTTCCTCCAGACAAGGTGGCAGGACCACCCTTTTTGGCCCAGCTGTTGGAGTCGGCCATTTTTGAGATAGATTTCCACCCACCCACCAACCCACTACATATGTTAGTCCGAAGGACCCTTTCTGTTCACCTTTCCTTCTTGGGCCATTTGGGGAGCAGAAGGACCCTTGAAGAGAATGGTGACGGTGCTGCGAGATGAATCCCATGGGTTTGTCTCGCAACAAGTGGACCAACGAAAAGATTGGTTTCCTTTTGTTCTCCCTTTCAATCCCATCCAACATGGGTTTCCCGAAAACTACACCCAAAGGTTGCATGCAAACCTAGGCTGCAAAAGACAATTAGAATGTGCCCGGTTTTTGCCATGGAAATCCACTGGAGGTCTGGTCCACAATGACGTCGGCCCACAAACCGACAAATAAGAGTTCGGGGTTGGAAAAGCAGGGCCCCCATCCAGGATGAATAGACTCTGGTTGATTTGGAAGGGTGTGTGTGTGTGTCCCCATTGGCGAGTTCGAGGGTACCCTTTTTCTTTGGCTGAACAGAGAAAGCAAAAGGGCACCTGGATTTTTGGAACTTCCATATCCTATGTTTGACACATAACAACCTTTCGCAGGAACCCCCTTGCCCCAATAGTGGCCTTTTGGGAGAACCCGTTGGTCCCCCAGCCAACGGTGGGGAGAACCGGGCCCCTCAGAGGCCTCAAGTGCTCCTTAGAATCAACCCCAAACACGGTCCCCCTTTGCGCACTTTCCGTCACCGGGTGCCGGGTATGTGCAAAAATCGGGTGACCCCAAGAAACGGCGGTTTTCCTTTTGGCCTCCCTTTCAGCCGACCTGATCTTCAGGGTACCGACTTGCAAGAAACCTTTTTAAATCCGTGGACTCGAAGCCATTCTTCAATTTGTCCCATGGAACCTCCGAAGATTGAGGAGCATTTTTTCCCCCGTGGAAGATCCTCAATTGTTGGTAAGCATTTTGGTAAAAATGGGAAGCCCTTTACCAGTAAAATCTGTTTTTTTCCTTTTTGGAAAATCCGTGATTTTTTGGGGTCTCATGGAACACCCCAAGATTGAGGAGCATTTTTTCGTTTTCCCACGGAAGATCCGCATTTTTTTGTTGGAGGAGCAAATGTTGGACTCCCTGCAGCGTGCGGCCCGGCGCTCCGAGCAGAGCTGGCTGAAGCGCCTCAGCCCCGACCCCGAGGCGGAGAGCCAGGCCCCGGAGACCGTGTTGGGTTGCGGGGGGTTGGGAGCCCGGGTTTTGCATGGGGCGGGAGCCCTCAGTTTGGGTAGGGTCTTACAGCCAAACCGCAACTTGGTGGTTTCCAGCCATCCCCTGTAGCTTTTCAGCTTTTTTTAGCGTTTAGCTTTTTCGTGGGGATTTGCATTTATACCGTATACCGCTAAAAGATAAGCTTTTTGCCCCCTAGTTTTGACACCTACCCATACTTGGCCATGAGTTTCCTCGGATGCGCTGAACAACCACTTCCCTTTTTTTGACGGTGGCCCCAGATCAACTCTGAAGCTGGGTGGTTTTCCATTGAAGTGCCTGTGAATTTTTGGGAGTTGTCCTTTTGGAGACAACCCCACAGTTCTTCTGCCATCACCTTTGGAAACGCTGAGTACATGTGAGATATGTCTGAAGAGGAAACTTCAGGATCCTTGTCAACACGCACCCCAAATCAGACCAATTTGAGTGTGTCTTGTTGTTTCAAGGAGGGCTCCTCTAATTTTGGGACCCCAGTTGCTAATTCGGCAAATGAGTTGATGTTCAGCGAACAGCTGAACAAAATCCGCAATTGCAGGTAGAACACATTCGCCATAATTTGGTGTGGATTTCCGCCCGTGTTGTTGCTTGCGATGAGGTGGCAGAATTCCCGAGGTTGATCTGGACTTAGCTTTTGGGCCATGGATTTCAACAGGACCCCTCAGAACCTGTGGACATGCGGGGTTTGATGGAAATGTCCAAAATGTCCCTGATTGGATTCATTCACATTCACACCCTCATGTTTGAACGTTGCCCGAACCCTGGCAGGCACCCAACAAGGAGCCGCGGCAGGCGCACGGGGAGGGGTCGAGGGGGTCGGGGGTGGGGGACAGGAAAGTGCCCCGCATCGGAAGCTACATGACTTCAACGAGTGAGGTTTCTTTCTTGCTGTTTGCCCCAGTTCAAATTTGAGCAAGCCGCTCTCGATTGGACTCACCTGGTTAACATGTCCCAAATCCAAGGACCAACTTGTCAGGGGAGCCAAGGGGACTGCCGTGTGTGTGTGTGTGTGTTGTTCTTTTTTTGGGGGGGGATGCTTTTCACCGTTGCAGGGCAACCACAAGGAAGGCCGTCATGTTGTACCCAGTGACATTAGATTCTTCAAGGGGCTAGGGACAAGTTCCAACCTGGTTAGATACACACACAATCGAAAGACACGCAAACCTGGGATTGCCCCTCCCCCCCCCCCAAACAAAAAAGCACATGTCGTGTCAAGGCGCCACATGAGCGACCGATTCTGCCAGGTGAAGTCGGGGCACTATGTAGAGGTGCTGCCAAGTCCCCTGCCAGACCCGGAGCTAGTGATCTATTCCCCCGAGGCCGGGGCCGGGAGGATCTTTCAGCAGAAACAAACAAATACCGCTGTTTGTATGCATACAAATGTAAATACATACACAAAAATACAATAGGTTTTTGTGTTTTTTCAGGCACACTCACGACATGTACATATAGATAGATACACGTTCCACTGGTAGGTTGTTGGAAAGACATCATGCATGTTCAATTCATGGTCACTTGGAACTTCCCCTGATTAAAGGGTAGCTTCACTTGGAAGCTCTTAAATGCACGTTTCCCTTTGGTGTTGCCCTTTGAATCGCTGGCCCAGAAACGGGGGGTCCATCCAACAAGACACTCCAAAACTAGGTGACTAGGTGACCCCAAAAGTCTGGCTGCTTCTTTTGCTCTTTCCAGATTTAAAAACATCCACAAGGGAGGTCGGCCCTAGCCCCGGTTTTGTAGGTGGCGAAGATGCTGGACATCCCCCCTGAGGAGATCGCCACCGACGCGTTCAAGGCGGGGGGCGGGGGTGGGGTGGGGTTGGTGTCCACCGCAGGAGGTGCGGGGCTGCCCTCACTTCTCGACTTCTGGAAGTCCCGGTTGCCCAGTGGATACCGTCCTTGTGTTCTTGGGAAGCTGATCTCTTTCCCATGGGCGTTGGGCTGAGGCTTTGTACCTTTAATACACTTTGAAGTGGTAAACACGGAGTTTAGGCTTTCTGGCCAATCTGCCTCAATCACTGGGCTGTAAGTTGTTCAGCGTGCATTATCAATGCTTGTTGGCGCACCAGGGATCATAGCGCGGGTGCAGTTGGAGCGCTCGTGGGCGCTGCGTAAGTGTTTGTCGTTTCCCAATGTTCTTTCTCAATGTTTGCCATGTTTTGCTCAGAAACCATGGTTGAATGACCAATTCGGATCGCCATTGTTGACTCATTGCCCTCCAATTGCAGGAAATGCGAGCTCACTCAGGGGTACGAGCGCAAAGACCTCCTGTCACTCTTTTCAGTTAAGCACTTGAACCACTTCTGTGACTGCGGCTCCTTTTCCCAGAGTGGCTCTTGCTACAGTCCAAGGATTGTAGGTCCAACCAGGGTCACGATTTCGTTGGAAGCCACCTGGACCCGCTATGTATTTTGTCCAGTTGAAGGGAGGTTGTTCAAAAGCACCCACCTCAAACAAGGAGCAACAACTGCCCGCTTTCATGTTCAGAGTTGAGGGGCCAAGGTCCGCTGTGCGCTTCTGAGGGAGCGCCACAACATGAATATGCACCTAAATGACGTCCACCAAGGGGCCCCCTAGTGGCTCAAGAAACCGGTACCAAAATAGAACCCTGGTAACTGGACACATGGACCAAAACCTGCGTACCCCTGCTGTTTAATTTTGAGCCACACCCATATCCACTGCCACCACCCACCTTCCGGTGCTCAAATGAGCTCAGCGCGTGAGGCCTTCTTCGCGGGCGACCAGAGCCGAGTGCCCAACTTGAAGTCCTGGTGCACGCCCTACGCCCTGGCCATCATGGGCCAGCGCATGGCGCCTTGTTTTTGTCGGGCATGAGGCCAACCGGGAGCTTCCCCAACCGATGATTTGTTTGGTTATTGGGCTGATTTGGATCTCCTTGGTTTTTTGGACATGAGTGGAATGATGGTTTTTTGTTTTGAATGATGGCTTTTGGCGTTCCTTGCCCTCATCAGGAGAATGCATTGGTCCTTTCGAAGAGGATGGTAGTTTTCCGAGGCCCTGTGTATGCATGATTGTTGGGAAGAGGATTGGCCTCCCTTTTTAACGGTTTATTTGTTACCAAAAACAACAACAAAATATGGGTTTCCTTTGGCCTTCTTTGACTGGGATGGTTCGGATTGGTGATATGAAGAACTTGGGTTTGGCAAATCTCACTCACGTACTGTACGTGTTCGACCCCCATGACTGTGTTCCTAGTGAATTCTCTTTAACCAAGCGTGAAAAAGCATAATTACCCTCAACAAACGCCCACGCAGAAACACGCATCGTTCCCGCACAATACTCCCCGCAAGTCGACATGGAAAGCAGCAAGGGGTCCAATGCCCAACAGGAGGTTCCTTCATAAATGGAGGTTGCTTGGGTGGCATCCTTTGCTTGCTGTTTGGTAGAATTTTAGCCCTTGCCCACCAAGACCCAACAAGCGATCCAGGTTTTCCTCTCCTCCAAATAGGGTGTTGGACAACCAATGTGCAGGTTCCTATCAAGGGATGGCTTTCAAGGGTTTTGGATAAGCATTGTAAAGGTTCTTGTTGTGGGAGCCGTGCCCATCACATGTGAGGTGCATGCCACACTTCGTCTTTTTTTCTCTCCGGGACTGCGCCGGAGGTGTCCAACTGCCCCTTTGGCAACGGCAACGGCTACGGGGACGGGCGCGCCATCTCTGTGGGGGAGCTGGAGACCTCCGCGGGCCGCTTCGAACTGCAGCTCAAGGGCGCAGGCGGAGGGTCCCAGAGACCAGCGCGCAGTCCAGAGGTTGCATGGACTTCAAAAAGCAGGTGAGGCACAAATCAAATGATTCTACGAAAAGTGGCCACCCAAACCAATGTACAGATGTTTAAAGCGAAGAGCGTGGTAGACTCACGATTTTGCCAGGATGCTCACCAAGGTCAGGTGTAGCAGGTCTGTTCTGAGCCTTTAAGAGATGCAACGTTAGAGAATTGGTGAGCGATTTCCTTTGGTTCCCTTCTGCAAGTTGCAGGGGGCAGAAATTTGTGCCGGTTGTGGATCAGCCCTGGAAAAGCTGGGTGTCAAAACTGTGAGCGGGCCAATATGCCTTTTTCGAGGGCGCTACCTCACCCCGGAGATCCGCACGTCCTCAAATTTAAATGTTCAAAAGCGACGTTGTCTGGAACATCGTGTTTTGGGCCAAAGTTGATTGAGTCGCCCGGGCTGATGTTCAGAGGCGACATGTGTGGAATATTGATTGGGAGCCCCACACAAATGTGTGGTGACCATCCTGCAATTGATGTCCCCCGAAGGGTGCCCAACGAAAATGCATATCTGTATTGACCCCTGTGATGCATGCCTTCGTTTGATTCATGCCCAGATTATACAATCCAATACTAGAGCAGACGCTCAGCCAGGGGAGTCGTGGGAAGGTCATGTTCCTTAATGGTCCTCAATAGTCCTTTATGCTCCTTGACCGTCACTCATACTCTTAGGTCGCTGTGGCACAGCAAATTTCCACCAGATCGCAAGAGAACTTGGCAACCAAGTTTCCTAAGGGGTTCTTTGGCGCAGGTGAGCAAACCAGACACCCTTTGGCTGACTTAACATCCACTTGCAACAAAGGCAAGCAAGAATTGTGCCGGCCATATTAATATAGCTTGGTCAGTCCAAGAGTCGAAGGCAAATGTTGCAACACCGATTCAGCCAGGGGCGCCCCAACGAGGGGACAGCGCAATAAAGGCAATCAGAAGGCTCCCATTGGGATTGGCGGGCCCTTTGGGGGGGCTTTTGACAACCGGAAGATCCGAAGTAAATGTTGTAAGGACATTTGTCAGTCGCTTTCCGAATCGCAGGCCGGACGCCCTTCTGCCGTGGCGGCGACGGGCGGGCGGTGCTGCGATCCTCCGTGCGAGAGTTCCTGGCCAGCGAGGCCCGCGGTCTGCTCGAGGTAAGCCGAAATAGGAAGCCGTCAATGTACGGGGGAAGCCATGACCATGACTCACAAGAAAAGGTTCTCAAAATCGTGGTCAACACCATGTTCTCGAAATAGGAAGCCGTCAATTGTTGGCTTCCTTTTGGTTTCCCAGTTTCCCTAAAGAAGTACCGTCCAAAGCCCAAGGGACACCACGGACATATTGCACCAGCCACCATCAGTCAACGGGTGTATCTTCTTTGAGTGTACTCTTCCTTTGGAGGTTTCAGACTGAACCCAAAAAGGACATCACCCGTGTTTGGATGTCCCTAGTTTAACACACACACACACACCCTGTCTTGTTGAGGTTCAGTCGATCTATCCAGTTGAGCCACTATTTACACTTTGGTGGTTGACTGTTCGCAGGGGGCAGTCGCAACCAGGAATAGGCGCGGCAAGAAACACCCTGACTGTTGACTCTTTACATGGGTTTGCGTAGAGCACTTTAGTACTAGTTGTTGATCGTGACTCAGTTGAGTTTCAAGCATATATTAGAGTTTGCGTCCTAATAAGTCCCAACATGAGTTCGTGTTTGAGTTGGTACCATTTGGTACACTTTGGTGAGGTTGTCTCACACCACAGGTTGAAATCACCCAATTGTTGTTCTTCTGAGACAAGGTTCAGTCAAGTATCTAGTAGTTCTATTTGGGAGGACATGGGGCAGACGAGCTCCAAAGTCCCATACCCTGCTTGGGAGTTTAAAGGGAAACCACAAGAACGCCAACCAGATTTTGGCCCCCTCCCTGTGCTATGTTTGTTCCGGAGCCACCTCATTTCGGGGTTGTGTTCAAGTGACACCAATCCATAACCACGCATTCGGTGAAGTTCAGCATCTTTTGATGGCCAATGTTGATCAAGTTGCCTTGGATAAGCTGATGTTTGAAAGAAGCCCCACCTGGCTCCTCTGGACGTTTCAGATCCAGAACCACAGGTGTCCTCTTGAGTTGTTTTTGTTGCAAAGAGATGGCAACGACAGAATCTCAGACACCCAGCGGGCTGCTTCCTTTCTGCTATTGCTTCACGTGATTGGTAGAATAGCTAGGTCCCCCAGTAGTGCAACCTTTTACCCTTTTTTGGCGTTGTGGGTTCCCCTACTAAAGTCGACCAGAAAAAAGTGGGTACCAACTTATTCTAACCTCCCTACTGGAGGCCCTAGAAATTATTGAAACACATGCAGCTGGAGCCCATTGAGGCCATGCACTTTCTGGGGGTGGAGACCACCCGAGCGCTGTGCCTGGTGGTGTCTTCCGAGACCACCAGGTGAGAGGGCAAGGGGCAGGCATTCGTTTGGTGGTTTGTGGGTTTATGGGTTTGTTGGTTCGGGTGTTTGTCTGTTGTTGTTTTTCTTCCAATGTTGTTTGTTTGATATGGAAGGAAGTCTGATCGAGCCGTTCAAGGCAATATTCTTGAATTGGTTTCCGTCAACCCAAAGAAAAGACGAACAACCAGATTCAAACGACGGCCGCCGCGTTCCTTCCGAGGAGAAAAGGGCTACCCAAAAAGGGTTGCTCCAAACCAAATGATGACCGAAACGCACAAGGATAGAAAATTGGTACTGGGCCCGTTTGTTTCCTTTTCCCGGACCATTTGTGTTGCCCTTGTGACCCGTTCTTTGGCTGGGCTGTTCAAAACCAATCCTATATAAATCCTCATGCGTTTGCCACGTGGTAGTGGTTTCCCTAGTGGGGTCCCGCGGACGGAGAAGGCGCCCGTGTGCAAAACACCGCAGGAGGCCGTGGTATGACGACTCCCGTGGGGGCAGCATGTTCGGGGGCTCCAAGGAGCCCAATACCATGATCCCAGAGCCAGAGTTGGCAGGCTTTGGTTTGTGTAAGTGTCATCTGCCTGTTTCATGGGTTCGGGGCTAGCGATTCGCCGCGTTGGTCCTTCACTTGTGGATCCAACTCTTTCTGTGTTCGGAGTTCTTGAACAGAGTCATGTTGATCCTCATATCCCAAACCTCTCTTTCTGTGAGCGGGGGTGAAACTAAGTCAACCAAACAAAATGCAGACTCCTCCTTTCCCTGTCAGTGTTCATGCTCTCTCGATTTCTACATGTATACACGTGTGCATGCATACAGCTAGATATATACCAGAGATGCATGTATCCAGCTATGAATGTGTGTACATGTGCATGTACATTCACCGGTATGTTCATGTTTGTACAATTTGTGCTTTACATCTTGTTCCATCACTTAATCACATGTATATTGGTCGCATGGAGGTAGCGTGCACTTGGTTCCTTATCATTTTGCTGCTGCAACATCGGGCATGTTTGTTCTACCTCAGTCTCTGCATTATGAGTTCTATGTGTCAACATCCGAAGTGCTAAGATGTGCTTGGGGCGAAGATGTGCTAGCAAGTGCCAGCACTTCCTGGATTGAAGATTGACGGTTATATATATATTGTATATATGTATGTATAATTATATATTTTCTCTGAATATGTCAGTCGGAATCTTCAATCCAGGAGCTTCCAGGATGTGCCACCGCGTGCGAGCACATGGATTAAAGTGTGAAGATTCTCAGAACATTCCCTGGGAAGGTTAAGCCCAGCAATGTTACCAACTTCTGTTGGTGTGTACCGACCTTCAATTTTCTCTGATCAATTACCATTGGGGTCATCACGCCGGGGAAGCGTTTCTCTACCCATGGCACTTGCGCTGCTTGATTCACTTTCGGGATTTGTATCAAGTCATGAAGATGAGTGTTTGGTATGTATGTCTCTAAATCTCCTCTGGTGATAAGAGAAACCAAGAAACACCTGTGGGAATTCTATACGGTTTCCTGGTATGTTCTTGTTCTCGTCTCTGGCTGCGCTACAATTGTCTGCATGTCCGAACAGGAACCTTTCAGACCTGGTAGGAATTTTGAATCAAGGCGAAAAAACAGGCAAACATTTGAGCCGTCCTTGTAGGCGGGGGGTAGCATATGCTTTTTCAAAGCATACATTTTAACAACTGTGCTTCTTGCCCGTGTGGATATTCCAAGACCAGAGGATTTGCACTTTGTTTTCTTTTTGGAGTAGAGGTGTGGGGGGGGGGGGTTGAAACCACCATTAGAGTTCTGTTTTTCCCGCATGGAATGAGGATCCTGGAGCCCTGCGCAATCAGCACGCGCGTGGCCCCGAGTTTTCTGCGCGTGGGCCATGTGGATCTCTTCGCGCGGCGTGCAGCGGCGGAGGTGGGGGAGAACCCCAGGGGCGAGCTGGAGACCTGGTAAAAGTACATGGGTATGGCTCAAAAATAGGGGTCCAAAATGGAGCCCTGGTAAATGGAAAGGTATACTAAAACCTGTGTAACCCCATCTGTTTAATTGTGAGCCACACCCATATCCCTGCGCGGAAGTATTCAAGGCTCGTGGCCTCTATCACGTTTTTTGGAGCTTTCGGTTCTCCAAATCTCCGTGCTAGAAGCCCAGATGCTGAGGTAAATCCAAGGGAAGCCAACAAAGGATGGGCAATTGTTCCTTAGTTGGTGGCTTGGATTGGAAGTTTGGGATTTGAACCCCTGGCTTTTGTAGAAGAAAAAATGGGAAACCCCCTCCTTGATCACCAAACCACGAATCCAAATCACCAACTAGGTGGAAGCTGATATGACCCTGCAGCCACGCGGATGTTTTTGTTTAAGGCAGCTGTGGAGGAAACCCTGCGCTGTTAGGGGATATGTGTTTCCAACTTTTCCTTGGGCCAAAACTTAGGAGCAGATCGTGGAGCATTGCCTGTTCCGCGAATATCCAGAGATCTATGCGCAGGAGTGCCGCAGTCCATGAGGCTATGTTCCACTCTTTTTGAAGTGGGGTTTATAGTTTGGATCAGGTGTTGTGTTTTTTCCCCTAGGGCTTGTCTTTTTTCTAGGGCTGGTCCCCTGGTTGGTTGATTAGTTGGTTGGTTGGTTGGTTGGTTGGTTGGTGGGTGGGTGGGTGGGTTGGGTTGGGTTGGTTGGTTGGCTGGCCGCATCCCCGGCGTCGCCAGCCTGACTTGGCTTTTGGGCCGTCTATTGGTGGGCAGTTGGGAGTTGCTGGGGGAGGGCCATTTTTTTGGGGGGTTTTCTTCCGCTTTTTTTTAAAGGATAGTTTTTGTTTTTCAGGGTGGGTGGCTTTTGGCTTTTGTGGCTTTTTATTGGGTTTCGGCTTTTGCGGCTTTGGCTTTTCGCATCCTCTGCTTTCCCAGTTGGTTTTTGGCCTTCGCTTCCCGCATCCTCAGCATCACCAGTTCCTCTCTGGTGCGCCCCCCCCCTGCTTTCTGGATTTGTTTGCAGAGATTAAAATGCAGCCCCACTTGAATTATCACTTTTTCGATCATCATGGGCGGCGGACTGCCCACCCGTGGGGGGGGGCGCAGCCCCCCAACCCTTCCGCTACATTTTAGATGTTTATTTGAGATTGAATTGCGCGCCTGTGTCAATCCTCACTTTTTCGGCCATCATGGGGGGGCTGCCGTTTATATGTATGTTTATGTATGTATGTATGTGTGTATGTATAAGCATGCATGCATGTGTGCAGGTATGCAGGTATGTAGATATGTAAGTGTGTATGTCTGTGTGTAATTTAGTGCAATGTAATGTAATGTACTGTACTGTAATGTAATGTAATGTATGATGTAATGTAATGTAATGTAATGTAATGTAATGTAGTGTAGTGTAGTGTAATGTAATGTAAAGTAATGTAATGTAATGTAATGTATGATGTCATGAAATGTAATTTAATCTAATGTGTAATTATGTAATGTAATTATGTAGTGTACGGTAATGTTATGTAATACTATGTAATGTAATGTGATGTGATGTAATGGATGTATGTATGTATGTATGTCTGTATGTATGTATGTATGTATGTATGTAAGGTATGTATGTAGGTATGTATGTACGTATGTAAGGTATGTATGCATGCATGCATGCATGCATGTATGTATGTATGTATGTAATGTATGTATGTATGTATGTAATGTATGTATGTAATGTAATGTAATGCAATACAATGTAATGTAATGTAATGTAATGTAATGTAATGTAATGTAATGTAATGTAATGTAATGTAATGTAATGTAATGTAATGTAATGTAATGTAATGTAATGTATGTAATGTAATGTATGTATGTATGTATGTAATGTAATGTAATGTAATGTAATGTAATGTATGTATGTAATGTATGTATGTATGTATGTATGTATGTAATGTAATGTAATGTATGTAATGTAATGTAATGTAATGTAATGTAATGTAATGTAATGTATGTATGTATGTATGTATGTATGTATGTATGTATGTATGTATGTATGTATGTATGTATGTATGTATGTATGTATGTATGTATGTATGTATGTATGTATGTATGTATGTATGTATGTATGTATGTAATGTATGTATGTATGTATGTATGTATGTATGTATGTATGTATGTATGTATGTATGTATGTATGTATGTATGTATGTATGTATGTATGTATGTATGTATGTATGTATGTATGTATGTATGTATGTATGTATGTATGTATGTATGTATGTATGTATGTATGTATGTATGTATGTATGTATGTATGTATGTATGTATGTATGTATGTATGTATGTATGTATGTAATGTATGTAATGTATGTATGTATGTATGTATGTATGTATGTATGTATGTATGTAATGTAATGTAATGTAATGTAATGTAATGTAATGTAATGTAATGTAATGTAATGTATGTATGTAATGTATGTATGTATGTATGTATGTATGTATGTATGTATGTATGTATGTATGTATGTATGTATGTATGTATGTATGTATGTATGTATGTATGTATGTATGTATGTATGTATGTATGTATGTATGTATGTATGTATGTATGTATGTATGTAATGTATGTATGTATGTATGTATGTATGTATGTATGTATGTATGTATGTATGTATGTATGTATGTATGTATGTAATGTATGTATGTATGTATGTATGTATGTATGTATGTATGTATGTATGTATGTATGTATGTATGTATGTATGTATGTGTATGTATGTATGTATGTATGTATGTATGTATGTATGTATGTATGTATGTATGTATGTATGTATGTATGTATGTATGTATGTATGTATGTATGTATGTATGTATGCATATGTATGTATGTATGTATGTATGTATGTATGTATGTATGTATGTATGTATGTATGTATGTATGTATGTATGTATGTATGTATGTATGTATGTATGTATGTATGTATGTATGTATGTATGTATGTATGTATGTATGTATGTATGTATGTATGTATGTATGTATGTATGTATGTATGTATGTATGTATGTATGTATGTATGTATGTATGTATGTATGTATGTATGTATGTATGTATGTATGTATGTATGTATGTATGTATGTATGTATGTATGTATGTATGTAATGTATGTATGTATGTATGTATGTATGTATGTATGTATGTATGTATGTATGTATGTATGTATGTATGTAATGTATGTATGTAATGTAATGTAATGTAATGTAATGTAATGTATGTAATGTAATGTATGTATGTAATGTAATGTAATGTAATGTATGTATGTATGTAATGTAATGTAATGTATGTATGTATGTAATGTATGTATGTATGTATGTATGTATGTATGTATGTATGTATGTATGTATGTATGTATGTATGTATGTATGTATGTATGTATGTATGTATGTATGTATGTATGTATGTATGTATGTATGTATGTATGTATGTATGTATGTATGTATGTATGTATGTATGTATGTATGTATGTATGTATGTATGTATGTATGTATGTATGTATGTATGTATGTATGTATGTATGTATGTATGTATGTATGTATGTATGTATGTATGTATGTATGTATGTATGTATGTATGTATGTATGTATGTATGTATGTATGTATGTATGTATGTATGTATGTATGTATGTATGTATGTATGTATGTATGTATGTATGTATGTATGTATGTATGTATGTATGTATGTATGTATGTATGTATGTATGTATGTATGTATGTATGTATGTATGTATGTATGTATGTATGTAATGTATGCATGTATGTATGTATGTTTGTATGTATGTAATGTATGTAATGTATGTAATGTATGTGTGTAATGTAATGTAATGTAATGCAATGTAATGTAATGCAATGTAATGTTATTCAATTTATCTTATTGTTATGTATGTATGTATGTACATATGTAATGTAATGTAGTGTAATGCAATGCAACGCAATGCAATGGAATGCAATGTGATGTATGTATGTTGTACGTATGTATGTTTGTAATCTATGTAATTTATGTGATCTCTAGAATCGATGTATTCTATGTAATCTATGTACGTATGTCACTTCTTCGAATATGAATCATGGGGGGAGGCCGCCACCGAGGTCCTGAACCTCGACGACATGATGGCGCCCTGGTCCTCGCCCCGGGGGGGGAGCCACCCAGCGCCCTGAGGCCCCTCGTGCTCGGCAAGAGCGGGCAGGTCAGCGTCACGAGAGTGGCCGACGCGGTGACACTTGGCGTCACACACATCGTCACCCAGTCCTCCCGGTTCGCGCTGTCCGCCGCCATGGCCGCTCAGGCAAACCGCAGCAAGCACGCCAGCGCCACCAACATGCCGCCCGGGTACTCCAGCCACAGGATCAGTCTGGACGCCGCCATCCAGCGCGTCTTCAACCCCCCCCTCGCCATCAATGTGGCCGAGTCAGTGGCCGTGTCATTTCTGTCCAGCTCTGCGCAGCAGGCACCTGTGATCGTGAGCCAGGTCCTTAGCAACTCGCTCTGGCCCCTCCTCAATCTGCCCACAGCCGCACACACGTGATGCGCCAGGCTCCAGGTACTCCTCAGACTTGGAGGCGCTCTTGGGAACTCTGGCAAGCTGGACGTGCTACATCCAAGAGTTGCGATCAGTGAACAGACGGAAAAGGATATGCGCATCCGCGGCCTTTTCTCCGACGTGCTGTCCTGCACTGGGTGCGATGGCGGCCCTGGCCGGGGTGATCAGCCTTGACATCAAGCCTGCCCCCAAGTGCATCCAGTGGATGTTGACTGACACCCGGACCATACCCACCAAGGGGGTTCGCTTCTCAGCGGGGAGCCGTGGCTTACGCCAGGGAGCCCGCCAGGGCGGCGCCTGTGCCTTCAGCCAGGCCCGCTGCCGCTCAACGCGTCCGCAGCTGTGCCAGTAGATACCAGCACCCTTTACGCATCTTTTCGCCAAGTCCGACTAGAGTTTCAACCCCCCGCACTAAGCTTTTATGTAGGGGGGGAAGGCCAACCCTGCTGCTACTTTTCAGTTGTTTGCCCATAATTAAATCATCAGCTGCCCGCCCCCAGCGGTATTTCTAGATGTTCTACAGAGAAGGAATTGCACCCATTGAAATTCTCGTTGTTTGGCCATCATGAGGGGTTGTTGTTTATATGTTGTTTATGTTTGCTGTGTATATTTTGTTTATGTTTATGTATGTACGCATGTATGGATGTATGTATGTAGGTTTGTAGGTATGTAGGTTTGTATGTTTGTAGGTTTGTAGGTATGTAGGTATGTAGGCATGTAGGCATGTAGGTATGTAGGTATGTAGGTATGTAGGTGTGCAGGTATGTAGGTATGTAGGTATGTAGGTGTGCAGGTATGTAGGTATGTAGGTATGTAGGTATGTGGGTATGTAGGTATGTAGGTAGGTAGGTATGTATGTATGTGTGTGTGTGTGAATGTCTGGAATGGAATTTATATTCTGTAGTTCAATGTAGTGCAAAGTATCGTAATGTAATGCCATGTAATGTATGTAATGTATTGTAATGTAGCGTAATGTAATGTAATGTAACATTAGCAATGTAATGTAATGTAATGTAACGTCATGTCATGTCATGTGCAGCAATGTGATGTAATGTAATGTAATGTAATGTAATGTAATGTAATGTAATGTAATGTATGCATGCATGCCTGTGGTTAGGTAGGTAGGTATGTGTGTGTCTGTATTTGTGTATGTGTATGTGTGTATCTATGTATGTACGGATGTATGTATGTATGTATGTATGTATGTATGTATGTATGTATGTATGTATGTATGTATGTATGTAATCTATGCAATCTATGCGATCTATGCATGTGTGTATGTATGTATGTCGCAGCCCCTAGTTGAAGCATCACCTTTTGGAACATCATGGGGGGGCCTGCCGCTCCCCCTGCCCCAAAAGCGATCCTAAACCATCACCGCACCAAACACGAATCAGCTCCAAGCCAACCCAAACCCACTCAAAGTCAACCCTAAACCCGCCCAACAGCAGCCTGGATTTCGCTTCGCCTAAACCAACCCCAAACCGCCCCAAGACAAAGCCCTCCTAACTTAAACCAGCCCCCAGGAACTCCCAACTGCCGCCCAATCAGAAATCAGAACCAATAGGCAACCCCAGGTCCAAGTGATGCTGGTGACGCTGGGGATGTTGTCAGCCTTGCGGCACACCAGCCCTAGGAAAAAAACCAGCCCTAGAGAAAAACACCGGTACCGTTTATAGTTTTGTTCGGGGTCCCTGTTGTTCTGTCCTGGTGTCATGGACAGTATGATACGGGCCTCCAGAAATTATTGCTGTGAAGAAAACAGCTGCAAGCAATATCAACATGAAATCACCAAGCACCCATCGCAAACACGGTGTTTCAGTTCATCTCCTGTGGATGCGTGCTATTTCTGATGTTGACGGCCACTTTGGGAGAGGTGTACCTCCAAAACTACGAAACAAACAAAGCAACAAAAGCAATTGTCAAATTAAAAACCACCAAAACCGTCTTCATGATTTCTCGCCTCTTTTTTTGTAGGAGAAATGCATGTGGGCTTCTGTTTGTCCAGCCCCAAGCGTGTTTTTGTTGACCTTTGTTTTGCTTGAATTGGGCTTCTTGGGCCCGAAAAACTGCTTCGGGGTCACCTCTCAGCCGCAGGATGCGCCGCTGAACGTGCGGGCCACGGCGATGCTCGAGGAATTCCCGGAGCGGCTGGGGGCAGTGGTGGCGGGCTGGCTGCGGGTGGGTTTCTGCCAGGGGAACTTCAACTCCGACAACTGTTTGGCGCCTTTGGCGAGAAAACTTCCGAAAAGCTGGGAGGAAACTGGGAGGATAATTTTGGGATCCGCTGGAGGGAGGAAGGCGTTTCCCTTTATCTTTCGCTCGTGTGCTTCAGCGAAAGGAGCGCTTGCCGTTTTGTTAGACGGGGGCCTTTGGTGTTGATCTAGCCCCCGCTCAGCCCACTGGTGACTTTTGCACAGTGCCGTTTTCAGCTCAGGCGGGCGGGCGCACCATGGACTACGGCCCTTTCGGGTGGATGGACAGGCAGGTTACTTGCCCAGAAACATGGTATTCCCAACTGGACAAAAATTACTTTCCCTTTCCGGGCCTCTTTCGGAGTGCATGTTCTGTTCTCCCCGTTTCCTAAGCCGCGGGCAGGTACAGCCCTTTGTTTGCCAAGTGGACGGGCTCCGGGGAGCATTACGGCTTCCTGAACCAGCCACAGGCGGCCATTGCCAACTTCCACACCCTGCTGACCTCGGTGGCGGTCTTGTTCCAATGCTGAACTTGGCACGAATCAGTTTGACACCTTTTTCACAGAATCCCACGCAGCCCCTGACGCTAAGCCCCCTGAACATCGCTGTAGCAATACTTCTCTTGCGTTCCTGAATCAGGCGGCAAAGTGGCCTTCTGCAGTTTTGTTTTGTTTTGGCGGGGGGGAGTCTTCTTTTGCTTTCCATTCATTTCTCCTGTCCAACGAGTGAGGTTCGGAGACGAAAACAAGGAGGATGCTGTGCGGCTCCTGCAGAAGGGCGCTGAAACTATCAAGTTGGCCGCGCAGGACGGGACCCGTCACCTCCCAGGCTGATATTGTCAGAAAAGCTAAGCTTTGGTGCTGGCGTGGTTGGGGAGGTCGTTGGGGCGAAGTTGGGCAGGTGGAAGCAGCTGTCATTTGCAGGGGTCGGCAGGATGTCTGCGTTTGGGGCACCGGGGAAGCGGCTTCAGCCAGGAAGTTTTTCGAGAGAAGCAAGGCTTCGCGGCGCCAAGCAGCGTCGCCAACGAGCTGTGGAAAGAGCTGGAGCCGTTGATGAGGAAGTCGGACATCGATTACACAATTTTCTGGCGACAGCTTGCCAATGTCATTGAGCATTCGGACAAGGCCTTAGTTTTTGCTGGTCAGAGTGGAAGTATCCAAACCACTGGTTGTATGTTGCTTGTTGTTTCGGAAGCCTACCCAATTTATTGGGATCTCGGACACACCTATTTCAGAACTGTTGCCAACAGCATGTAGCAATTGGATTAGATGTGCTTAACACATGAATGCATGACCGGTAGAATTCCTCGTTGTTTGGTCTTTTTTCATTGAACGTCAACGTTGCTTAGGTTACGTAGGAAACCAGCAAAGGGGTCCAACCAGCCGGGGGTTCGAATTTGAATCCAAGGACACTGTGGCAGAGACAGGGCTTGACCACATCAAGCAGGCGTTCTATCAGGATCCTCCCACTGAAGTTGCTTCGCCCAAAGCCATGCTTTCGACCGTTTGGCTTTCCCAGGATTGGCCTTCATGTGATCGTTCTCAGTATTTGGGACCCATAGCTGGGTTTTCTTTTGGGTCCGGGTATTGTTAGGGTCGTCAAAGGCTTTGACCTAAATCTAATTGTGATGTCCGCATGCAGCATTTTTTTTTGCGGGTGCCGGCGGGGGGAGGGGGGGATCTATATTTGGCCATGAGATGAGGTTGCTGAGGAGTGGACAGCCTGGCTGCAGAAGTGGGCGGAGGCAGTGCTGGCTGAAAGTGATGCCAAGGAGGTCGCGGCGCGTTTGCGCAAGGCGGGCTCAAACAGGTGCTGTTTCCCGTAGCGGTCCAAGGAAGACTTAAACTTAAACCGGGGAGTGCCTGATTTCCGCACAAATGGAACCCCCAAATGTGGGGTGATCGAAACATGGAACCCTGGTTTCCCTTGGTTTGTGCTTGTTTTGCTTTTGGGAGCCTGCGTGTTGCTGGTCGTGTTCCTTCAGTCGATTCCTTTTTTGGGGCACCTCAGCGAGGTGAATCCCAAGTACGTGCCTCGTGAGTGGATGCTGGCGGAGGCCTACACCCAGGCGGGGAGGGCTTGGGCATGGCTGAATGGAGCTGAGCTGTGCTTGACCATGGCTGTTCCATGGGTTGAAAGAGCTGTGTTTTGACCATGGCTTTTTCTTTTTTCTTCTGAGACTGTGTTAAGGGTCCATGAACAATAGAACGTGTTCCCCTGAGATATTCTGGCCGACAAGCATATTAAACAAGAACCACAACAAATGCCAGATCAACAGCCTTGGCCTTTTGCTTTGCAAGATTGCCCTATCTAAACCCCTTCCAGCTCAGAGATCCTGTTTTGCAAGTGGTCCCCAAACCATCCAAATTGATTAGCCATTTATTTAAAAGGCAAGCGAGCCAAAACAGTCACACAAAGTGGGTTGCCCACCGGAGCCCCCAATTCAGTTTAACATATCTGCTTTGGGGTCTTCTTTAATGTCTTGTTTGTTTCTTTTATTTTTCTTCTTGTTTCATTGGGGGGGTATTCCCAGATCAAAGCCTTAGGCCTTAGGCTTTTGCTTTTAATGGGTGGTTCATCTTGGCAGTTGTAAATCAAGTGCTTGGAATCTGAGATCAAGTCTTGGTGATACTAAATTTTAAATCGATGCTATATCAAGTACTGGGAATCTGGAGTACTGGCAATACTAAATTCAGTACGAAGAATCTGAGATCAAGTCTTGGTGATACTAAATTTCAATTCAAGACTGGGAATCTGAAGTACTGGCAATACTAAATTAAGTACAAAGAATCTGAGATCAATTCTTGGCAATACTAAATTACGTACTGGCAGCCCAAGTCCGACCCCCCCCATTTCCCACTAAAGAGGGTCCCAGTGAATGCCGACAGCAAGGGTGGGGGTCACGTGAGAGAAGGCTCAACATTGCCTTTGTTCATGGGTTAGAAGAGCTGTGTTAGAACATGGCTTTTGGAGTGATTTACACATGATTTTATCATGGTCATGAGATTATTCCAGTGGACCCCCTCGTTCTGCCAGGTCCTTTGGTGGCCTCCAAGTAATATTGCGTTTTGTGTGTGATTTGCGAACATTTCTTGCACAGGATTGTGAGGCCAGTAACTTAGTACAATTTAGAAAGTGGTTTGCTTGGACTTGCCGCCCCACCTGTTTTTGGACCTCCTCAAAACAAAGAGCTACATAGGGAGTCACAAAGCAGGTTGAGTGGGAAAACGGGGTCCCGTTTGCAGGCTTGCTTCTTTTTTCGGAGGCTTCGAAGGGAGACTATTCCCTGGTGCACGAGCTTTTGGAGCTCTTCCGGCACCCCTACGACGAGCAACCGGCCTTCGAAGCTCTTTACTACAGCAACTTAGACATAGCGCTGCTTTTGTTTGCCCTGTTTTTTTGATGGCACAGTTCTCCATACATCCCCCTTTGCTCGCCGCACATTTTGGGCCGGTGCCGTTTTGCTTTAAGAGGCGTCCCTATATTTTGTCTCTTGGTGACAATAACCATGGCATGTTAAGCCTTTTGCAAGGGTGAGTTTCCTTTTGGTGGGGTGATGTTTACAGGCCAAATATAGGTTATAGATGGTTGTAGGGAGCCCCTTCCATCAACCAACAAAAAATGGTGCCCGGATTTCCTCTCCTGGCTTAGGCAAAGGCCCGGCGGAGCTTGTGAATCGCGGGGGGGTCGCCTACATGACCTGATCTTCGTAAGCGGCGATGCATTGGCATGCCTATTGGCATGCTAGCATCGCCGATTGGGTGTCAAAGATATACCAGGCCTGTTGAGTTTGGTTGTACTAAGTAGAGCAGACCAGACTAGACTGCATTGTTTGGCTTTGTCATCTTTGACACTCTTATCTTCAGCTGCGGCTGGCAGAGTTGAATGAAGCTTGGAGGGCTTGAGACACCTATCAAGCTGAAAAGATTCTGTCAGGCAGCTCATGTGTCATGGTCAAAATACAAGTATCTATTCCAGATGCCCGGATATGGTCACTGGCCCCATGTGTGAGAATCCGGTTCGATGCGAACTTTGGCCATGCCACCCAAATCCAAACGGCGCGCGTGTGCCATGGATTTAGTAAATGCGCTGGCCGCAACGCGGCCGCATACTGCATTTTTCTTTGTCGAACAAGTCAAAAAGGCTGGTTGTCCGAGTTTTCCAGCGACACTTGATGGTCCTATGAATTGATAACTTGCCAGAAGCAAGCATCGGTCGAGGGTCTGGACCCCCATCCCCGAGGCTTCTCCAGGGGACCATGCCTTCTCAATTCTTGGAACCGCTCTAAAGGGCGCTACACCCAGACATAAATTTACTTGATGATTGCTTTCCCAGCACGAAGGTTCAACGCACTGAGTAATCTTTCTCTTTAGGCGCTGTTTCACAAGCAATCGGGGCCCCTGGGACTGGAAATGGATCCCTGTTGTTTTCCCTGGTGGTCAAAAACCAGCTAGGATCCCCAAGAAATCAAACAGGGGATCCGATCAGGGCGACGCAGAACCGGCTGGGAAGAACCGCCCGGAAAAAAAAAAGCAAAACAAAAAAAGAAAAATAACCTGAGAAGGCACGATACCCCGGGGAAAAGCCGATGTGCGTTTTTACTGTAAGGTACCTCATTTTTGGCCATAGGCTTTTCCCAAGTGGACAGTGCCTTCTCAACTTTTTCTTTTTTTCTAAAAAATAAAATAAAAATGAGCGAGCACGCAGAGGTTGGGGGAGCACGCAAACCCGGAGAAGGCCCGCAAAACCGGAGAAGGCCCGCAAAACCGGAGAAGGCCCGCAAAATCCGGAGAAGGCCCGGAAAAAAATGAGTCTGTTTTGTTTGGCGATGTGTGACGTGCAAATCCGCATTCATGGCTGCTGGTGATGCCTGTGCTGCTGCTGATGCTGGTTATGCCTTTGATGCTGGTGATGCCTCTGAACTGGTAATGCCTAAAAGTATCAGGCCAGAGCCAAGGCTGACAAACCAACATGCCAGCCCTTGAGAAGGCACGCTGATCTGGGGGAACCCGCAAAATCCAGAGGACGCGTGTCCAGACTTCCGAATCGGCTGAAAAAGAATACCCTACCCTATGTTGTTTGCCTCTGTTTGATCAATGCTTAGAAGCCGAGAGGTACTACAAGGGCCGTGATAATTGGAAGAGGGTTGTGGGAATGACATGTCATCAACAGAATGACACGTGTAATTGTTGAACCACTTAGATGGCTGTTGGGGTTCAGCCTGTGACATGCGGAATTGTCCATCTTGGCCAGGCCTGTGAGCCAGTGCTACGGCACCCACGAGTGCTTTGTTTTCAGGTGCTCGGGAGGGCGTTTTGTGCGTGTGGACAGGGTATCCGGTGTCATTGTAGAAACGGACCTATCAAGAGGGTCCCTTGGCTTTTGCATGGCACTCAGCATTGGCGGTCTAATTACTTCAGCTTTTGCGCGTCCTGTTTCCAAACCTTCAGTGACCTGCTAGCGCCACAGATACACAGGGACATGAGGACAGATCTGGTTTATTTTTGTTCCTTGGCGCAGTTTCTCCATTTTGTGAAGCCAGGACGCCTCGCACTGCTGGTGCCTGGCGCACAGAGGCACGGCGCGAGGTGTTTCTATGCGTAAAGAAACATGAATATGATATTTCAGTCTGGGTATTTGTCAACGGCGGGTTCCCCAAAATGGTGCTTTGCCTTTGGGCTTCCTGTTAAGCTCTGAAACGGGTACCTTCAAGATACACGCCGGGTAGTATGTGCACATTCACTCTTTCGACCATGGTCAAAATCATGGTAACCTGCAGATGAAGGAGATAGTTATCAGTCAGCTGTTCTTTGAAGGTTTTAGAAAGTCCGACAATGATGAGGACCCCCATGTGTGGTGTTATTTTTGGGCCGCTGGCAGTATTTGGCCGCATACAGGCGGTATGTGTATGTAAACCATAAACATGTTGCCTGAGCTGCCGTACGCACGTTGGCCATGTTTTGTAGAGCAGGGCATCCACACAAACCTATGGCACACATGAATTGCCTGGTAGGCATGAACATTCCACAGAGTGGCGGCTTGGAAATTCAGCAAGCATCCACAACTTCCGTTTGCAGGTGTACGGCAGAACGGTTCAGCCGACTTCACCGAACAGTGAGGAGTGATCTGGGCTTCATGTCCACGTGTTTCAAGCCTCAGGGCTGTGGATGGACAAAATCCACTTAGCACCAGTTGGGATGGAAAACACCTTGATGAATTGTAGGATTAACTCTGAGTGGTGCAGGATTTGGTCCAGCCACAGTATGGCTTGCACTGATAAGGGTAAGAACTTGAAGAACCCTGTGGAACCTTGAAAAGAGGCCTCACCCAAGTCAACCAAGTCTTGGCAGGGTGAGGAACATGATGAACCCCAAAAGTTAACGAAAATTGCTAAGTCAGCCTCAGGAGGAATCACCTGAGCCTGCTCTGTTCAATGGACACGAGCCCTCATTGTTTACAAGGTTTGGCACACAGCAATGTCCTTGAGCTGGGGCAAAGACAGGACAGACAGCCTAGGGATCTCACATGGTCTGATGGGCTTGGACAGCCACAGCTGTGTCCCCTTGGACAATGTAGTTTAGAAAGGCCATAGAAGGAGGACCTTCTGGCAAACGAGTAAGAAACCTCCCTGCGTGTTTGTGCTGTGAGGATTGCTACTCCGAAAATCCTTCAACATGCCTTTTGAGCACCGAACACCCTATGACATGGATCCTCAAGAGGGCCTGGGGGCGTGCTCAAAAAGATATGGGTCTCTGTCGTTTTGTTGAGGGTACTTCTTGGGGTTGGTTTTGGAGGGAAGCCAAAAGGAAACTAACCATTTTGGCGGGGTCCCCTAGCTCGCAATGTTTCCCGTGGGTGCCATCTTTTACGGGAGTGTCTATAAGGCATTTGGCAGGCAACTCTAAAAATCCAATACACCAACGAAGGTAGTTGCAAAGACCCGATGTGTCGAGACAAAGAATGGTGCGATCGCAACTCGCCGCCTCGAGGACTTGGTGCCCCCACAGTGTGCTCCTCGGGGCTCTTTGCGCCGGCAAGGATGCACCAAGTCCCATAGGCTCAGACCTGTGCCCCTGTGCCCTGGGGAAAAAGGGACACCACACAGAAATTTCAAGCGGAACCCACCAACAAAACTGTTCTGTACCGATGACGTGAGGCACCCAAACCTCAAGCATCAAACATCATGGGGAAATTAGGCAGTTGCTCACCAAATAATATGTTGTTGCGGGCCACAGCAAATCTTAACCATGGCTCAATGGGAGCCCCTAAATTCATCAATCTTCGCTGGCGTAGTCTGGCGGGGATACTTCGCTGGGCATTTCAGAGTGGATCCTTCACTGGGGCAATATTCCCTTTCTAGTTTGCCAGGCATACTGTATCGATCCGGGTCCAAAGCAATGTGAATGCCTTTGGACCAACAGCGGTTGGGCTACTGGAATAGTCGGAAGCACGTTTGGATTCTTTGTAGGTTTGGAAGCTGACATCCCCTGATGTCCCATATGCTGTAAACATGCAGTGGGGTCAAGCGCCAAGTTTGGGAAATGGCTAGTGTCAACCGGGTGGCTCATGTCAAAAGTGGTCACTAGAATCACTAGAAACAAGAACAATAGAGCATCCTTCATCCTTGATTATGCCTGCTGGAGTGGAGACTGGAATCGCTGGGGTTGAAGAGAGTCGTTCAAAAAGTGCATCACTCCCTTTGTCCGTGCCCAGGGAGAACGAAGAACAAGTCGTGGCAACCGGCTTCAGCAGCGAGAGCTTTGGCCGCACAAAGCCAATGAAAGGCTGGACTTGACGTGTTTTGGCGATGAATTCTATCGCTTGGAACACCCTCCAAAATGGCTGGTGGACGTAATTTTGCACGTAAGTGATGTCCACAAAAGGGTTTCCAATTAAAGATTCGTTCTCGGTTGATGCGGTAGACTGCTGTTTGCCAGCTAAGGAAAGCAAGCTACTTCGAGGTGCTCCGGGGACCGGGACGCGTCAAATGGACCATGAGCGACTTCGATTCGAATGACAGAGCCTGCCAGATCAGGTGACCTGCTTCTCCCTCCCCTGAGGCTTCTAGGTACCTTTATAGGCAAGAAGTGTTTTTGCTCCTAGCGTCAGATGCGGGTTTCCCTCACTGGAACAAACCTGGTTGTCCCTAGTGACCTACTTGAGTCATACCAACTGGGATCTCTGTCGGACTGCCAGGCTTTGCGCAAGGCCCAAGCCAGCATCCCAGCGCAAGCAAGAACCTTCTTGGGACCTGTTGCGATGCCCTAACTGACAGGGGTCCGTTCAAAGGGTCTACAGTTTTGGCGACCCTTCGCCTCAAAATCGGAGGCATCTCCTCAAATTGTTGACAGCCCATGGGCCATGGGTGCCCAACAAACTCGTTTGGTGGCACATGGCTAAGGCTCCAGCTTCTTCTGCTTCGGTGTTTTGCAGTCACCTGGTGCCGGGCTCGGCGCATCTCACGGCCATCCTGCTGAGGGGGGGGGCGGGGAGAGAGCAGGCCACCCAGATCAAAATAAACCAAGGAGCCGTGACTGTTGGGCCAATCCACGGAATGAGTCGACTTGCCAGGGCAGTCGAACGTTCAGTCTGGAGATGTTGAGATGTTGACAGAAGGATGGTTGATCAATCATGCTATCTATGATCAAGGATCAAGGGGTGTTGATGTTGAGAATCATGAGCATCAAATCTGAAATGAGGGCGGCCTCACAAAGGGATTTGGCGACCTCAAAGCTATGAAGTGTCCGTTCGGCAAGAGCATGGGCAGGGCGTCGTTGTGGG